CAGGTCCCCGAGCCTGCCCCATCTGGGCCCTGGCAGCAGGTAAATAAAGGCAACATCTCAACAATGTCACAGTGTTTGGCTGGGACAGACTGAGGACACGGTGGTGGGCCTAGGCACTCGATCGCAATCCAAGAGGGCTCCTGGGAGGAGGTGAGGGTCCCAGAGCCCCGCCTTGGCCTGAGCCCCTCAGCACTCCGCCCGCTTCCTCCACGGGCCCCTTACCGGCTTCAGCCTCAGCCTGACATTTCCCGTGACATTTGCTGCAAAGAAATAGAGTCATAAACCCAAAGGTTAAATTTGCACATTGCCTCACGCTGCCAGGAGAAGCATGGTCTCTCCACCCACCAGGTAGCATGGCTACAGGGTGTGGGCAAGGTGGCCCACCCATTCCCAGTGCCCTTGCTGGGGGCCCAAAAGTCCCTTCACAGTCCCCCAGAAGGACATCGGTCACTGTTTCCCAAAATAACTCCAGGGCAGGCCAGGCCCTGGGGGGTATTGCAGAGGGGTCAGCAAGGGCCCCTTCCCACCCCACTCGCAAACCCGATGCCCTGTAGCAAAAGGAGCTCTGTCAGCACCGCTTAACCCGGCTGGTCCCAAATCTGCTTGACTATGAAACCCTTGTTCACTTCCCACCAACTTTCCGTGGAACTTCGATTCCACGGAGCGTGATGTGTGACGGCCAGTTAGGAGCAGCTTGGTGCCGACAGCAGAGTGGAGCAGCACCCCAGGGTGCCGAGTGGGCTGCTTGAACCAAGCCGGGTCAGCTCCTGACATCCCAGCGCCTCCACCCAGGCTCCCCGAGTCACCATTGGCCCAGCTCCACCTGCCAGGCCCACCTGGTCTCTGCCCAGGCAGCATCTCCCCGTGGCCCCTCTGGCAGGTCTGCCCAGTGCCCTGCCTTTCGGCCACACCTCCCAGGGCTGGCTGCCCTGTCCTGCGTGTGGTGGTAGGGGCGCAAGGCTGTGGGAGGTGCCTGATGGCTCCTCCTCCCTCCTCCCCCTCTGGAGCAAGGCTGCGGCTGCATGGAGATCAGGCAGTTGGACAGCTGCAGGGGGGAGGCAGGGGCTGTGCGAAGGGGGCAGGAGAGGAGTGGCTGGAGGTGCCAGAGCTGGAATATCCTGATCAATAGGGACGCATATTCATTCACTACCAGCGAGAAACGCAGAGCCCACCCTCAAAAGGTTGGGAGGGGTCAGGATCAGGAGAGGGGGATGTGACCACACCTCCGGGGGACATTGTGGGGTCTCCATGTGCAGAGCGGGTCTCCCCACGCCCAACCCCACAACCCTGGACGGCGGGAGAGGCCGGGGCAGAGTCGGAGGAACAATGGCGCATCCTCGGGAAGGGGCTCTGCACGCACCACTGAACCCATGATGCACAGGAATAGTTCCCGATGTGCAAAGTGTTTAAAATACAGCGACAAAAGAAGAAACTGCCGCACAGAACACCCGTATGGTGGGACTTGGTGGGCCCACGCACTCCAGTGACGGTGCAGCGAGATGCAGGGGGTGTGGACAGTGTGCCTGTCCTCTGGCGAGGCTCCACTTGCAGCTCTGGGCCATCTGCCCTTTACAGGGTTTAGTCCTATAAACGCAGGGGGCCAAAGGTCACACCCCTTTCACTGCCTGGCTCAGAGTAGGGTCACACAGTCCAAGAAAAAATAAATGAATGAATGGATGAACAAGTAAATGAGAGAATGGATGGGTGTCTGGGGTTGGGTCGCTCGAGGGCGCAGAAGCAGCCAGGCCACAGGGCAGGGGACGCCGAGGGGTGCAGAGGACACAGAGGCTGGGCCCTGAGAGGACACATCTGGGTACAGCTGGGGTGGGGCGGCCAGGCAGGCTCCTGCAGACCTTGAGGCTGAGGTGCTGGGTGGCCACAGAGGGTCAGGCAGCCCTGCCTTGGGTGGGGGGTGGGGGTCTTCAGCCAGGGCCCACCCGCCCGGGGGTCAGGCAGCATAGATGACATGGGTCAGGCACAGCCAAGGACCCTCAGCCTTCCCACACTCACTGACACACTCACTCCCTCACCACACTCACTCTTTCACCGTGGAACTCCCCCCTTGGGCTCCATTCTCCCAACCCCTTTCCAGGTTCACAGACTGAGGCTCCAAGGAGTCTTCCTGGCCACAGGCCCAGGAGGGCAGGAACCTCATCCCTGGGGTTGAGGTTCTGCCCCCACCAGCCAGGACCCTCCTGGCACTGTACCAGCTGCCAGAAATGTCTATGCTACAGAGCCATGAATTCAAGGCTGGGGCAGGGAGCAAGGCGGGGCCCCTGACGTCTGTGGGCCAGGAGGCAGCAAAGAGAGGGTTGGGGGGAGTCAGAGGGCCGGGGAGGGCTCAGCCTCCTCGGGCTGCAGGCCTTCCACAGGCTCAGCACGTCCCACTCGCCCTCTTGCTTGTTGAGATCCGCCAGGCCAGCCTGCGCCGCCACCCCTGGCCCTCTCCCTTCCCCGTCACCCAGGACCACAGGGAGAGGCCGACCCGACTGCAGGGCCCCAGCTGACCACGAAGCTGCACACAGAGAGAAGCGAGGCCCTGGGTCCTGCAGGCTCCCTGCTGGTGAGGGGCAGAGCAGAGCTGCTGCCCTAGCTTGGGAAATACATGCGGGGGTGGCCACCGCCCACCTCAATAGTTCCCTCTCCCTCCCTGCTCCCCTCCCTGTGCCCCCCCCTCCAGCTTCTCTGTGACCTCTAGGGGCCTTTATTTCCCATCTGCCAATGGGTAGGAGGGAGGGGTCTGGCTGGCAGTGCAAGGAGGACTTCCCTCCGTGGGAATGGCTGACGGGGGTGGGACAGCGGTCCTTCTGGGCATTTTGAAGGTAGAAGCCCTGGGGCCAGAACTCAGTGGGGGCCTCTGCCTTGAAGTACCCCCAACAACTCCTGAGGTGATCCTAATTACTGACCCATGTCACACGTGAGGAGACTGAAGCACAGAGTGATGAACTGTCCCACCAAGGTCATACCCCCCCATGGGTGGCACTGCCAAGACCCAAATCCAGGCCATTGGCCTCCCGCCAATCCGCACCCTGGAGCCGGGGACCACCACCTGTCCTGGTCCTTGAGTGGGCGCTTGCTTCTTCCCCACTATGACTGGAGGGGGCAGTGGGGAGGGCGCCTGATTTACAGCGGGAAGGACAGACTTAGACAAAGGACAATGGCTAGCCTCGCTGCCTGCCCTATCAGGGGACCCACCCTCACACACCTTTTAAGAATGGCTGGCTTGTCCCCATTCTACAGACAAGGACACTGATGGTGGCCAGGGAGCAGGCGGTGTGCCTCTGCCTCCCTGAGCCCTGGCCGGGGTCCTCCTTACCACCACCAGAGCGAGTCCCCAACACCCTTATCTCAGAGCCCCACACAGCTCCTGGGGCAGGTGACGCACCATGGAGCCCTCAGCATGGAGATACCGAGGCACTGGGTCCAAAGCCTCCTAAGGTCGCCCTGGGTCAGCCGAGGGCTGGGCACACACCTGCGCCCTGCTGGGCTGAGCGGCAGTCACTGCTGAGCAACCAAGGAGTCTGGCCACTTTGTCCCTGTGCTGACCTCCAGGTTTGAAATGGACCTTCCCTGTTCAGGGGCGTCCCAGTGCCCACTGGCCACCACTGCCCCAGCATGGTGGAGGGAAGGGAGTGCCTGGGGGCCATTCACTCCGCAGCCTGGGCTGTGTGCTGAGCCGGCCCCCAACACATTCCCAGGCCTCTGTTACAGATTTGGGCAGACCCTGGCCGCAGCCCACCTGGGCATGCGGGGGCACCTACACCCAGAGGCCATGAGACACATGCTGTTGTGTCCACAGGCACACACGGTCATGCATGCAGGCACACATGTTCAGATGCATGCTGAGTTACACACACACACACACACACTCTCTCTCGCACACAGAGGCCTGAGGGGCTGTGAAGGGGAGACTCCCCAGACACAGGGGCTGGCGGACAGAGGTGGGTCCAGGATCTTGTAGCGGGTTTCTCACCTCCTCAGTATGTGAGCTCCAGCTGCCCATTGCCTCCCCCTCAACACATGTGCGTGTAGGCATGGGAGCGGGTCCTGCTCAGGGGCCCCAGCATGTGCCAACCATGGCGATCACAAGCGTGCTGTGTACATGTGTATGGCCAGGGGCATAAGGGGGGGTGAGTATGCGGGTGTGCACCCACAGCATGCATGGCACACTGGGGCAGCCTGGCATGCATGTGCATACAGGGTGTGCAAGTGTACAGCCCTTGTAGACTCGTGCACGTGCAAGGAAACGTGTGTGCAGCCTGCGGCATTGTGGACATGAGCAGGGCAGCCCATGGGGAACCAGGGCAGGGCAGCAGTTGGGCCCCCCGCCCCCACTCTCTGGACCTCATACCAGGTAGAGGGAGGAGCCCCATGGGGGCTGCCAGGTGAGCCTCTCAGCAGAGCCCCGCAGGGGCCCCGTAGGCTGCGGATGCTAGGTGCTGGGCTGCCTCCTCTCATCGCGGGCCCCCTGAAGGGGCAGCGCAGGCTAACCCCGCACCCCACACCCTCTGCTGTTGCCAACGCCCCCATTCAGCCCGCTGCAGCCTGACCCCAGAGACAGGAGAGGTCCTGAGCTGAGTCCGCGGGGCAACCGCGGAGGAGGCCAATGCCTCCACCCCTGCTCGGTACCCACGTTTGTGCAAATCTGCTCATTAACCCCTTCGCGGCCGGGGTGCTTCCAGGCTAGACCGCGCCCTTCCAGTCGGCAGCCCCCACCCCAGCTCAGGCCCGGTGTCTGGGGCCATCCCGATCTGCTGCTTCCCGCTCCGCCGCCGCCGCCAACTTTCCCGGGAAGCGGCAACTTTTCCTGCAGCCGCGGGCTCCGCCCTCCCGGGGCCGGGCACCCGCGGCCCCAGTCGGCGCGGCACTGCGGTGGCCCTCACCGCTGCCTGTGACCCTGCCGCCTGCCTGGGCAGGCGGGACCCGCCCTGCAGCTCCGAGAGTCTCCCCCACCCCAGCGCCCCACCCAGCGGCCCGCTAGGGCACGGCGCAGCACTCACCTCCGCTGGACGCCTTCTTCATCGTCGGGGTCGGGCAGGGCGCGTCGGGGATCGAAAGTCGCTTCGGGGCCGGCGCCCGTCTTCCCGCGGCCGGGTCCGCATCCAGGCGCCGCCGCTCCGGCCCGGCCCCGGCCCGGCCGCGGGACGAGGCTGGGCGCGCTCCGCTCCGCCAGTCGGATGAACTGGCGGGGCCGCGGCGCGGAGGGCGAGGGCGGCGGCGACGTGGGTCGGGAGCGGATGAATATTTTATGGGATCATGTGGTCTGACGCGCGAGGAACCCGCCCGGTACCCACGCTGGCCCGGCCAGGGCGGGGCGGGGGCGGGCCGGGGCGGAGCCTCACGGCGGGCGGGGCACTCACCTGGGCGCGGGCCCCGGGTGGGCAGGGGCGCGGGCAGCGCTGGGCTGTGGGGCGGGCGGCGCGGGGCGGTGGGGTTGGTGGCTGGAAGCCGGGGGGGCGCAGGCCGAGCCGCAGGAGGCGCTCAGCACTCCCGGTGCACGGGCGCCGCGCGGCCCCAGACAAAGGCGGCGCATTTCTGAAGAGTCGGCGGCCCCTGCAGGCGGCCGCGGGCATGGCGGCCTGGGACGGAGAGGCTGGGAGCGCGGGCCGGAGGGCGTGGCGGCCCGAGCTAGCGGGGTGTGCAGGTGCCCAAAGTAGCCAGCTACTCATTGGAGCTTTGTCTGGAGGCCTGAAGATGGGGGTTGGGGCGCCTCTGCCTGGCCCACTCCCTTCCTCGTCTCGTAAATTCTATAGCCCCCATGCCCAGCGACCCCTTGCTGGAGGAGGGTTGTTTGATTTTCAGTTTGAAAACAGGCTCGAATCTCCAGAGACTTCTGAAACCCCTTACCCGTCCTCGTGGCCCTTTCTGCACCACCCCAGGGAAGGGACACAGGCACAGTCCTGCCTTTGCCCCTGAAGGTAGCCTGCCACCTGTTCCCTCCTGTGGAATGGGGGCTCCAAGCCCAACTGCTTAGTACCCCCACCCTCCACAAAGCCAACCAGGGCTCTAGGACTAGGGAATGGAATGATCCCACCCCTCCTCCATGAACAAGGGCACAGGCAGGCGGCCCAGCCTGCCTCTACCTGGCCTCACAGATAAGCTCCTGCGTGTTTCCTGGAGCTGCCTGGCTGGTGTGCCTGCAGGCTGAGCTGCCCACGGAAGAGTGCTGGGAGGCAACCAGCTGGGTCTGGGCCTGGGCCCAGGCACCTCGGAGCCCACTGTGCAGGTAAGAAGATGGTGTGAATGGGGGCTGGCTGGCTAGTTCACAGTCAGTTCCAGTCTGCAGGACCCAGGTCCAGGGCAGAACTTGGACCCCTCCCCGTGGCTGGCGCTCCTGGCTGAGGGCTTGGTGGCCCCTGTGGGAGCCTTAGTGTGTGTCACCTGGTGACGTGAAGCTGAGAGACCTGGTAACTGGGAAGCCCAGTACACTCTGCTCCTCATCAAAGCAAACCTCCTGACCTTGGCGGCGGCACTGGAGAGGTCAGCAGAGCACAGAGCTCATGGCCTGCCAGCCCTTCGAAGGGAGCATGGCACCCTCTGTGAGCCCAGTGCTCCCATCTAAGCACAGGGCCCCGGCAGCCCCGTGGGGTGGAACCACAGCTGTCTGCCGGGCTAGCATCCTGGCCCTAGTGTGGGAGCCATACCGCCTAGTCCCCTCCGGCTGCCGCACTGTGGTCCTGAGCACACTTTTGCCCGATTGCTCCTCATCCCAGCCTTGGTTTTCCGGGTCCTGTGGAGTGCATTCAATTCCCAGACACACAGTAGGTGAAATAGAGCCTAGATACACCAAGCTTCTGTGTGGCTATTCCTGCCCCTGTCACCCTAAAAGGGCAGGATGTCAACCCCTGGGCCCCTCTCCAGTGGGTGCTGGTTGCTGAGTGCCACCAGTGAATCCTCCCCACAGCCACATGGGAAATGCATCCCCCATCGGACAGCTGGGGGAGCTGAGACCGAGGCTCATGGAGCCATAAAGGGATCGGTGCTTGTCCCTATGCCAGCACTCTTCCCCCAGAAGAGCTCCCAAACCAGGAGGAGTTCTTCTTGCAGGGCCACCTCAGCTCAGATGACAAGCCATGTGGCACTGGCCATCAGTCTGAGGTCAGGGCTAGTGTGGATCGAGGTCTCAGGGCTGCCCATGCTTGCAGAGGGGCCTGGAGAGGACATTTGCCTGCTGACTGCTCCTGGGTTCTTAAAATGATACAGCACCCAGGGCTGGCCCACCATGGTTGCAAACTGTGTGCTCACCTCCCTGTAGGCTCAAAGCCCCCATGGCAGCTGGGAGCAGGCATTTTGGGGCAAAAGTGCACGTGGAAGGCAACGGGGAGCCAGTGCTGCTTGCAGTGTGGAGGCTTCTGGCACCAAGACCCTCTCCAGCTGCCAAGCCCGGATGTTCTTGGCTGTTCTGGGCTGGGGCCTGGGCCTGCCACCTGCCACAGGTCTTTGTATGAAAGCCAGACGCTGTGGGCCATGGGACGGGCATCCTTTGCCCCTGTAGTCAGCACCTTGGCCAGCGCCCTCCTCACTGGAAGCCTATTGGCTGACTGCCAGGTGTTGGCTGGGGTAGGTGGGTGTGGGCCTGCCCTGAGGGGCTTCATGGCAGGCAGACGGGGAGCTGAACAGGGCTGGGTGACTGGTCAGTCTGCCATCAGCAGGACACAGCTCGTTGTTTGGGCTGGAGATGTGGGGACGGTTTGGTGAGGCACATTCATCAGGGCGTGGGCAGGTGCAGGACAGCATGAGGGACAGTGTGCTTGCTGGGTGGGCAGCTATAGAGCCATCACCACCCCAGGCCTACAGCGTGAGGGAGGGACGGCATATGACAGCGGCTGAGGAGCCGGTGGGGATGGCTCCACAGAGGCTGCAGCCTCGGGCGAGGGACACGGCCAGCCCTAGGGATCCACCCTGCAGGAGGAGCCAGAAATACCATGGGAAGAGCCTCGTGGAGCTCTGTCCCCGTAATGCCAGCTACACCTGTCAGTCCCTGGGAGGCCCAGCATGGGGGCAGGCATGGCAGGACACTTGGGCTGCAATGATCTGTGTCCCCCAGGCTTTCTGGACACAGGTCTCTGAAGACCAGGAGTGGGCATGGGCTGGAGACTGCGGGCAGCTCTGCTCTCTGGCTGATAAGGCCTGCCACCCCTTGCCTGGCCTGGGCTTCTGCCTGAATTGTCCCCTCAGACTCATTACACCTGGGACACAGCCTCTGAGAAGCTTGCCCAGTCTGTCACACCCCTCCAATGAGGTCTGGCGCTGCCTCACTCCCACCCTCTGGTCCTGGGGACCAGCCTCCATGACAGCATGTCAGGCATTCAAGGCCCACCCCCAGCTGCATGAGCACACCCAGTCTCCTGGTCTCTCTGAGCTCAGGGCAGCATTTGGATGAGACAGACACTAATACCCCCTGGGAGAGGTCAGCTGCTCACTGTCCCTTTTTGGTCCACCTCCCCTATCCCCTGAGAGGACCATGCAGGGCCCTAAAGGGACAGCTTGAGGTTTTCAGTCAAACTCATGGAATCCAGCTAGGGCAAAGGGATCCTTCTCTGTGGCCAGTTCTGAGGGACACAGTTTGACTTCCTTAGAAGGTCACTGCTTCCATGGGCTCCAGGCGCCTTGTTTCCATCCCGGGGAGACAGGACTGTGGTGGCTTTTCTCCAGCAGCCTGGTGGGGTGCCTGTGGCCATCCGGTTTCCCAGTGGCCTCCCAGGGAGGGGTGGGGAGGTGAGAGACAGGGTGTATGCCCACTTTCTGAGCCATCCCCAGGCCAGTGCAAGGAGAGACCCAGAAGGAAGCTCGAAGGTCATACAGCAAACCTGTGCAGGCTGCCCAGGTGCTGCTCCAATGTAATCCTCCCCAGCACTCTGAGTGGGCAGATGGGAATGCGGTCCCAGTGCCAGGGAGCTGGGGGTGCACCAGCTGCCATCTGCTCTCACCACGGAGGGTGGCTGCCTGCCTGAGGCCTGAGAGGACTCGGTGCCAGGCCTGCTAGGTGCATTGTGCCATTCTGTCCGGTGGTGCAGACACCACACCACTACCCATTTTACAGACGAGAAAATTGAGGTCAAGGTGCTCAGATAGACCTACCTCCTGTCAGCCCCTCCCAGAACTTTATTTGCTTACACCCACTGCTTCCTGCAGAAGGCCCACCCCACCCCACCCTCCCCCCAACTTTGGGGCTGCAGGGGATGTCTTGGCCTTCTGTCATCAGCCTTGCACCCCCAGGGTCCTTCTGCCCAACTTCAGTGCCATAAAGATGATCTGCTTCCTCATTTCTTAGCCATCAAAGCCAAGCACAGCAGCAACTCAGGGTCAGGGCAGGAAGGGGCTGACAGCCCGACCCCTGGCAGCGTCCCCAAGAATCCCACTGGGCCTGTCCATCTCCATTTGCCTCCAACCTCCACACCAAGCAGGGGCCTCCTCCCAAAGGAGGAGCGCATCCTAGATTCTGCTGTGTTGGGCGAGCTCCTGGCTTAGCCACGTGTCCCTCCTGCCTCTGAGACGCTGCTGGGGATTGTTGATGGGGCATGTGCATTGCACAGTGGTGGCCCTTACCATGCCTGCCCTCTGGGCTTGGAGCACCCACGGGCGGTCTCCAGGATGAGGAGACTCAGGCTGGGTGGACATGCAGTGCCAGCAGCTGTCTCTTAAATTTTTTTTAAAATTCTCACCTGAGGATATATTTATTGATTTGAGAGAGAGAGAGAGAAACATTGGTTGGTTGCCTCCCATATGTGCCCCAAGCAGGGATCGAACCCACAACCCAGGTATGTATCCTGACCCAGGATCAAACACCCAACCTTTTGATGTGCATGGTGAGCCACTTGACCAGGTCAAGGCCCTGGCTCTTAAGGCACCTGACCCTTTTTCTTGCTCCCAGAGAGAGGAGTGAGTGTCCAGGTCTCCCTGGTGGTCACCAGCAGATGGGCTCAAGGTCTTCTCCCAAAGGGTGCAAGCAGGCTGGTAGCCTCTGTCTGGGCACCAGCCTAGGCCAAGGATAAGTCAGAGGTTTCTGGTCCCTGAGGGCCCCAAGTCTTGTGCAGGGGCAGAGTTCAGGAAAGCGGGGTCCCCAGGCTGCATCCAAGGCATCAGCACTTGATTCATTCCCCTCCCCCATCCCTATAAGAAATGCAGTCCTTCCAGAGCCACCCACCTGACAGTGATGGCTAAATTGGGAGCCACCGTTCACACCAGGGGCCCAGCAGACAGTTAAAGCTGGGCACCTGCAA